TCTTTTCTGTATGATCCACTCATTTTGACTCCATCCCACATTCCTCTCAAAGCAGTGGCACACGAGTGGTATTTGTAATACCACAATATACCAAAAAAGGAAGAAGAATCTGTTCGGTAAAACCCTCCAGTAACTGATGGAAATGTCAGAAAATATGTCAGCGTGTCTGATGGATTTGAAATTTGAATTTGTATCTGAACCTGTCAGCTGATTTGGTCTTATACCTGCTTCCCTTCTCCGCAGGCCCAATCAGCTCTTCTTATAAAGAGATAAAGGAGAAAGAAATTGACGGACAAGCTGCATCATTCAAAAAAAGCCGGGTACGAGGATGTAAAGGAATCTAGGTGAGAAACAAATAAACAAAATGTATTCTCCCAAACCAACAGGGAGAGTCTGCATGAAGTTAAATTCATCTGCAGATCACATTGATTATCATTTAAAAATGTCACAATAGGGGAGGTATTGCCTAATCTCAGTGTCTTTCGTGAACTGGCATTTATTTACTTTTCAAAATACCTAAGTCTTTATCTCAGAAAAAACAGACAGAAAGCAGAACAGCAGCACAGATAATATTGTAGCAGAATTTGACAAACTACTCCATAAGCCTGCTCTCGCTGAGGTCAGAGGCTCGCAGGCGATCAATATCTGGCAACTCACCTTTAAAATCCATTGCTCGGGAGCCCAATCAGCCGAGTAGCTGCCCTGATGCTCCTGAGGACGGAGAAGAACATGGACGTGAACAGCTTCTATGCATTTTTCCGCTGCTCAGAAATCGGAAAAATAAAAATAATTAAAAAGAAGGGGAGAAACTAAAGCAAAATACATTTGTCTTTTGTATCGTCACAGTGACTGCAACGTCCTCCAGTCGTCTCTGACCGCACACAGTACACACAGCAATAAAACACAACAGCAGCTCAAAGCGTCTCTTGGTTGAGCTTCTCTCCAGACTAAAGGGAAGCTGTGACCAGAGTCTGTTCACTTTAAACCAGGACCACATGAATCATTCATACTCACTGGCACACAGAATATTTTCTGTCTGCATTCAGCAGTTATTGTTTATGACACTATAACCTTTAATGATAGCTACTCTGCTGCAGTCCCTGCAGGAGGAGAGCAGTTGAGGACCAAAGAGGAGGGAACAATAGGAAAAGAGGAAAGATGTGAAAGGAGAGTGAGGATGAGATTGTTCCCGTCTTTTTATGTTGATCTGTCCCCGACGTTTGGTCCTGAGAGAATTATCTTCACAATTACCTCCACCTAGAACATTATGTTTTCATCTGTGCTCGTTTGTCTATCTGTCTGCAGGATTACGCAAAAATGACTTGATGAATAACCATGAAGCTTGGTAGGAAGGACACAACATGGACCACTCTATTTTGGAGCAAATCAGAATCAGGGGGCGACTCTAGGAATGAATTTCCACTTTCTTTAACATTTTGAGATTTTCCTTGACTTCACAGAGAATCATTCATAGATCTTGAGGTTTGTTCAGGGGACTGACATTTATAAGTGAGTGCAATTTGGTATCTAGTATATTTACATAGGGTTTCACAAGGAGACTGCTGGGCCTTTTGCGAACATACACACTCTAGTGATTGCCACTGTAGTTATTAGATGGTTCACAATGAGATATTAATGGTCTCCGGAGGATGAAATTCTTATATTTTAGTCAAATGTCTCGACAATGCCTGATTACAGCTGGGATTGGCTCCAGCTCCCTCAGAGAATAAGTGGTATCGATAATAGATAGAAAACGCTTGCTCATCTGTCTTAAGCCTGGAAGTCGGGCGGCAATGAACCTATCCCAGCATAAAGACTGGCAACAGGGAAACAGCGATCGTTGCACCAATCAAAATGTAACAACTAAAACATTAAAATCATGTACATGATTTGTTAATTAATAACACAAACATAAATTTAGCTAAACTAACAATGGCTGGCTCCAGCTTTATACTTAACACAAACAAATCAATCTTCACATCTAATAAGAAAATCAGCCTACTTCCCGAAACTGTCGAACAATTATTATAAAGTATTTTGCGGGCTCCTCTTATATGTTAATCTGTATCATTGGCTCATTGGAATTCAAAGTTAACTGCAGTCCTCCTTTCTAAGCAATACGTGTTCTTGGTTCAAGTCATTCTCCATTAGATGTTTTAAGGTTTTTCTGCAGGCAGCCAGAGGACATGGAAATGCTGTGTCATTTCTCTTTGGGTCTTTGGGGCCTTTCAGCATGATTACTGAGGTATTATGACAGCAGGCCAGCTCAATGCCCCTCGTCAGGTCACCCTTCCCCCTGAAACCCCCTCCTACTGGTCTGACCCACCTGTCCTATCGCTGTCGGAGTCTGGGGGACAAAGAGAGGGCTGTCAGGCTGGAGATAAATCTATTATCTCTTGGATTAGACGACACAGGAAACAATAAACACAAAGACTGTGTTGTTACAGGCATTAATTGTTATTGGAGCTGAACTATTAAGGAATGTTTACCACGTTCAGATTTTTAGATGTTCAGAACACGAGAGACTTTCCCTCTCACACAGTCAATCATCATCTGTTGGTGGCATTGTTAACTTCAGATAAAGACACAAACACACACACACACACACACACACACACACACACACACACACACACACACACACACAATCATTCCTGTGTCTCGCCTCACGCAGGCACAGACTGTTCTCACATGTACCCACGCATTCCCCCAATGACTCATCTAAAATAACACACGAGACATATCAAAATACACATCAATACCCTCGTGAAAATAAACTGTGGGGCCCAGCGGGTCATCGGGCTTGTTCTGCGGGGCGTGAGAGTGCAGCGCCTGCAGCCTCCCCTCCAGCTCCCCACTGCTGCAACAACAACACAGCAAACACATTAAGGTCCAGGGGAAACTCAGACCTGAAGTGACTGGGCAGCTCCTCAGGACCCAGAGAGGTGTAGCCTGGTGGATAACGGCCAATTTCACCGGAGCGTGATGACCGAACAAGGTCCGGTGCTTTGGTGGAGATTTGTCTGAACATTGCATGTGAGGTCACATTGACCTTTGTTCAGTTCAAGTTTGTGCCAAAAAACCTTTTTTCCCCTCCTGAATCTACACTTTCCTCTGTTTTATTTCTCTTTGTTTTCGCCTCAGCAGCAGGTTTCCTGTGTGATGGATGCTGACGTACCTCTGCTGAGCATCCGTTTCCCATCTATCGACGGCTCAATACTGAGGGCCACCCTCAGTATTGAGCCGTCGATAAAGTTAGCAACAACGAACCTCACAGCAGACGCTTTGACAGGTCATAGTAAGAAAAGCACAAGCGTCATCAATAATATTACAGAAGCAGCCGAATGGAATCCAGCTATCATCCAGATTCTGCTATTTACATCTGTAGTCTCTTCTATTACATTATCTATATCTATATCTATATATATATATCTATATATATATATACAGAGAGAGAGAGAGATAGGTAGGTAGGTTGGTAGATGACATAATCATCACCAGGTTGATCCGCTCCTCGGGTGGAGCACACCAAGTTGGCGTGGCCTCTCGTGAACAGATGGAGGCCGTATTTACGCTTGGCAGTGTTCTGACACTAGTGGAGACCGGACAGAAGGACAGAGCACAGGTCACACAACGTTCATACAGGGAAGTGAACAAAATAAAGGTGCCTTCACCAAAACAACGTATGTTATGTGGAGGCACCTGTCAGTGTGTTGATCTTAGATCATCAGGTGATTATCTTTAAATGTATTGAGATGTGAAAGAGAGAATGGGAACTCTCGCAGTTGAGGATGACCTTTTTCATCACTTGAGGTAATTGAGAATGTGACTGGAATATGCCAGAGGATCCCGATTTGTTTTTCCTCACTTGTATGCGTCAAACCAGTGAACCAACAAATCTCTTGACTTATCATCTGAGCAAAAATCTTTATCATCTTTTTAAATAGGCCACACAGACCAGTGCAAAAAGTCCCTCACTTTTCCACAAAACTGCTTTAAATGTGAGACCAACTCCGGCTTTAATCTGCTGCCAAACACCAGCCGACTGTGGTCTCTTGACAAATGACAGACATTCCCACAATGACAGGGATCATTGCTTTATGATGTCAAATAAAAGACTGAACTCCCGGCAGTAAGTGTAACATTCACACAAGACAGATCAGATCAGCTAATCTCTAACTCAGACATTCTTCAGAGATTTTACTCGGGCGTTGGCAGCAAAAGTTACAGAAAATATTTGTAGCAACTGATTTGGAAACTCACGTTCTCACAAACAGCTCCTCCGGAAGGTTTCAGGAAAATGTGCAGAGGTAGGTGCATGTCTGAAATCTTGCTCAACTCCACTCAACACTGCAGTTCAGGAGGCGCAGTCCTGAGTGGAGCGGTGTCTTATCTTCAGCTGCATACCTCCAGTGAGATACTCACTCGCTCCACTGAATGAATGCATAGATGAACAAATTAAAATAATTTTCTGGAACAGAGAATGGAACGCTGCCCCTGGATCTCTGCTGCGCTCACTTGTGTAAAATGTAAGAAATGGGTTTTCTTGAGGGTTTGAATGGTGCTGAGCTGTGACTGAATGAAGGGTGTTAAACCTTTCTGTAAATGTCAATTAGGAGAACTTGAGCACAATGTTGTAGAACAACACTTTCAAATGGTTTGTGTTCATTTTCTGTTCAGTTGAAGGTTTAGAGGTTGGATTAGTTCAGCATTTTGGGAAGCACATGTATTATTTTCTCTCTCGTCTGCACAGTGGATACAAAGCTACAGCCAACAGTCGGTTAGCTGAGTAATCACGTACTCAATTTCACAAATCAACAATGTAAAAAAAAACTGTATGTTTGTAGTATATGTATATGATGATTTGGCACTATACAAATACAATTTAATAGATTGTTGTGGTTCATAGAGGATTATATGGCTGATTATTGTTTCCTAATGTTGACACAACAGCATTTAAAACAGTTTAAAATCACACTTCTGTCATCTAATAAAGGCACAAAAAAAATATTTATTTGATATAAAATGTATGACTCTTTAAATTAACATCCAGCAAGAAAATGAATCATCATATTTACCAAAAAATTTGAACTACTTCTTTTAAAAGCCACTAACACTCCACCTGTTTAAATTCAACTAACCTTTTGATCTGGTCTGGTTCAACACCTTTTCCAGAAGCTGCCACAAGCAATGTTATGACAGACGATGTTAATTTCCCCAGTTTAAAAAAAAGAAAAATCGAATCGCTTTGGAAACCGAACAAGGTCAGTGTGAAGGATGCAACCGCTGCACATGACACTTGTGTCCAACTTCTCCCAACCTTGGGTTGAGTCCAAACGCATGTGATCAAGTGTCCTTGATACAAAGGAAAAGAAAATGTTAATTGTACAAATTAAAAGCTTCAACATTACTGAATTCATTTCTCAAATTGCCCTGACAGCAATAACCTTAAAATAGAGGAATATTCAAAGGAACATTCTGCCTCAGTGGCTCATCAATCCTGAAGCAGCTTTCAAACAGTTGTTCTCTGAAAAACACACACAGCTCTTCACTGACGCATCCTTGTTGGCTGCCCTTGGATCACATTAGTTTTTTCAGATTTAATTAAGTCGGAGTAAAAAGACTTTTGGGGTCACATCCTGCAGATGTAACATCCTGACTCAAGGTTAACACCTTCAGCAAAATTCAGCTCTGATCAAATGATCTGATCAGTAAGATCCGGTTAGATCAATCACGTCCCGTTAAATAAACCCAATAAACCACTCAGACTGTGTCAGAGTCACGCACACCCATTTTTTTCTCTTTTTATTCAGTGATAAATAATTTCCTATGATCATAGGCTTTATGTGTAGACATCCGATCAAGGCAAGAGACAAATTAGAGGGCACACATCGCCACCATTAGAAAATAATAGCAGAAACAAAAACAATGAGGTAAGAAGTTCTTTTTTATACATGTGTGGTGCTTCTACTTCTGTTACCTATACTGTTGAATGCACAGTGCTTCCTAATACAGAAATCCTGCTTCTTGTGTCTGTACATTATTAAACAAAAACATGTCATGGCACAATACTGAACCACCCAAAGACAGGGCACTGCAGAGGGTATAGATTAGCAGTATACATCATCAGACTGTGAGTAAGAAAAGCTGAGCAGGAAAACAGAAATACTAAACAAGTCTTCCGACTTTGCAACTGAACTCTGTGACTGACTCAACACACACACACACACTCACACACACACTCACTCACACAAACACCCTTTTAAGACCAGATCTGCCAACCAGTAGCGTGTCAGGACGTACAATATGAACCGACATGTGAGATTTCTGTATGTTCTGTATATGTCGGGGAGTTAAAACTAAATTGATCTTAAACTATCTCAATAACCAAATCATATCTTCATTTATTTTTTTACTATAAATGAGAAATATTTCAGATTATAGATTTAAAGGTACAGTGTGTAGAATTTTGTGATATCTAGTGTTGAAGTTGCATGTTGCAGCTTAACACCCCTCACCTCATCCTCTCCTTCCAAACATGAAAAAGAAACTGTGGTAGCTTCAGTTGTCATGAAAACTCAAAAGGTGTTTAGTTTGTCCAGTCTGGACTAATGTAAAAAACATGGCGGCCTCCATAGAGAGGGTCCCCTCAATGTAAATATAAAGTATTTCAATATAAAGGGCATTTTCTTGGGTAAAGAAAACTACAATTCATACAATTTAGATGAAACGAACTAGTGAAAACATCATGAGAATTATTCTACATTAAATTTCTGCCAATAGTTCCCATTCACCTAAATCTTACACACTGGACCTTTAACACTTCTTGCTATCTCTTACCCGATACTACAACAATTAGTTGAGTAATTAATTAGCTGATCAACAGAAGAGTTAACACTTTTCTTTTGACTGAAGAATCATTTCATAAATTTTTTAATAAAATTAAAAAACATTACAGCTTCTCAAATGTGAGGGTTTGTCTTTGTTGAACACGACTTAATTTCACAGAATATTCAATTCATCTGAAAATAATAAGTTGAGAGTTATACCACCATTTCACTATTTTAGTAAGTTATTGATATATTGAGAAGATGACCAGTAGATTGAAGGATAATTGATTTTATCATCAGTTGCAGTTTTATCTGTAACATCTGAGAACTTGCTCAGATGAAAGAAGCACATTATCTGGGCTATTGTTATTCCTTAAATACAAGTCCATACATTTGCTTAGAAATCTTTTAAGAAAAAAGATGCTTTTACTCCAGAACTTAACTGAGAATCATCACGTTATGATCATTCTGCTTTACCTATAGATTATATTTGATTCATATTTGACAAATGTTTGTATATTAAATTTTGTATTTATGATCATTAGTGAATTTTGTTATTTTCCAAAAGTAAATCTTAAAAGGATGTTGATAGTGTTGTTATAAGGATCGAGGACACAACGTTGGACACCTGAAGAACAAAAGAGTAGCTAAAATGTTTGGTGAGCTGAGCAAAGCCTGGAGCTCTGGAGAAGAGATGTGTGACGTGTTTTAATTTGACTGGACTTGCACTGAAGCTCACACTGAAGCTCACACTGCTCTGCAACTCACTGGGTTTTCCCTGAAGTTAGAAAATAAGGAAAAATTACAATGGAATTTAAAGAAAATCGATGGGATCTAAGGATATTACCTGGGGAAAGTTTTTGGTTTTTTTAATGGGCAGTTTTTCACTTTTTTGAGGTTTATTAGTTCGATAATTATAAGAAAAGAATTAAATATGCAACACTTGTGAAAGTTAGTCATTTCAGACATTTTTAAGCAAAAAATGACATTTATCATTTATGATAAATTGAGTAGCTCTTTCGGCTGTTGGTGGAATGAAACCTATGTGGACACATCACCTTGGGCTGCAGGAAAAAATACAATTTAATTATTATTAATCAATTAAAGAAGAAAATAAGCAAAGTAAGTAATAAAGAGTGAAACACTTGGTTTCAGCCCTAATGTGTGGATTTACACGGTGCAGACAGTGAGGTGGTTGTGTGTGTAAATGTGTGTTTGCGTGTTTGTGTGTTACATTCACAGGCCTCAAGAGCAGCACAATGAGGCACAGCCCCGTGCACGGACCTGACCTGCAGTCCCAGTGCCTTCACCGACAAAAAAAATGCTCCTGGCTCGGTTCTTTCCTGTCTGACATTAAAGGAGAATACCACCAATCCTCAGCATTCACGTGTTATTTTCACACCGTTAATAACTTCACAACTTTTTGTTTGTAAATGTCAATACTGTCTGCTGTAACGTAAAAGTTTACCTAAATGCAACACCACAGGGATGAACATGTTTGAGAAATACTTTGAAGGTCACTGTGCTTGTGCCTGAACTACAAATACAAGAGGTGTTTATGTCCAGGTGATTACTCACTAAATTCACAGTCTAATAGTTATTGGCAAAAGGTGTTCATCAGTATCATGGGATTAGCCATCTACACTCATTGATAGATTATTGCTGTCCATATAAATAAGTATGCATGGTCTTACATTGAGTGGCATTCTCCTTTATGGTACTTGACTTCACGTAGTGTTGCCCACGCAGGTCACCCCTCGTTGTCACCTGCTCCTGAGTTGGAGTTGGTTGGAGACAATACAGAGGGGGTGCATCTGCACCGACCTCTCTCGTCCACAGCAGCCTGTGTGTCGGCCGTGACAGCTGGGACCACAGCTGCTTTCGCCAACCACACCTGGGGCCCTGTGATGCAACAGGCGAGAATAAACCCTGCTCTAAAGCCAAGCTGGCAGAAACTCCTCCCCCCAAATATCCCTCAAAGATTTAGTTCAGTGAACCTCAATTACACTCAAACTACTTCAGTGGAAAGGCGGCAGGGGGGGTGGAGGAGAAAAAAAAAAAAGAACACAAAATGTACAACAACAGAAAAACACACAACTGAAATAGCTAAGAGAAGCCAAAAATAGCAACAGGAGCGGTCGTGACGTTGCAGATGTGTGCAGAGGCCGGCGGGGTGGGCAGTAGGGAGTCAAGTCGAGGAGTGGCTGTAGTGGTCCTCAAGAAATGTGCGCCAGCATTGTGGCCACGGTTGCCATGTCAGCGGCACATTAAGCACCCTTAGACAGAACAAGTACAGAGACATGGCCATATTTTAAATCAACAGTGGCAGGGTGCTGCGACAGCCTCAGCTGCCCTCTCTCTCTCTCACTCCTCCACCCCATTGGGCCCACATCCCTCTCTTGTATTTTGTTCGTTGATTCGTTTTCATCTTTTAGTCGTTAGGTACTCCGTGGTGCTGTGGTCCCTTGACACATAAGCAGAGAATTCTCTGTTTCAGGCGTCTTGCCAGAGTTTGTTGTTTTTGATTTTCAGTCATTGTGTGTTTTTGTAAATCCCAATAAATTTTCAGAGCCTCCTGTGTCCGTCCAGAGGCGGGCACGGTCAAGTCCTCAGCCCGGGAGGCAAACTTTGCCGGCAAACAGCAGTCCCACTATGGTGAAGAAGATGGAGAGGACAAATAGCACGTACGACGAGCCGACCACTGTGTTGTTGGGCAGCTTGTACGGCTGACCTCCCACCTCGTTGATATAGAAGCCTATAGGGAAGATGAGCGCTGCCATACAGAAGAGGATCACTGGATGAGGAAGGAGCGACAGAGAAAATGTTAGTTTATGGTTTAGACACAAAGACAATTCTGCACAGACAAAAAACTTTACTCTTCTGATATGTCTAAGTCCTAAAGATGGTTTTTAATACACAATAACGTCATAAGAAGATACAAGAGTTTGTTTTTGTATTTGTCAACAACAAACCACTTCTTAAATGTCTCTGCTTACCAAAGCTGAAAAGGGGTACATTAAGTAAAGCGTTACTAAAACCTAAGGTAAAGACATCTGACTTCAGCCTTTGTTCTCCACACAAGATGCAGAACGTACTCAACATAGGCTGCTCAAAGTGAATTCAATTTTAGCAACTTCATTAGTGAGATGCAATAGAGCTTGTCAAACAGCTTTGAAGCAGCTGTTACACTAAGCAGAGGCATGGCACCGAGATCAGTGACTCTGCCTCATGGTTTTTAGGGAGATGAGAGAGAGTCCGACGCACTGTGACACACATTGTTCTGTTAAGTGACTTTAAGGTATGAAGAATTTATTTAAAAATAGGTAACATGCCAAAGTTTATGCAGTGAAGCCGAACGAAGCTGCACTATAGATATATTAATAATGGCTATTAAGTCAGGATATGTGAATATACAGTGCGCAGGTGTTAACTCAGACTTCCTTAGTAACTCGTTTTTTTATGTGCATGTTAACATACTGACGACACTGAAATCTGCATCAAACCCCATGGGATCAATTAGTGTGCTGACCACATGCTGAGAATCCCTGCAGTCACAATAGACAGCGCTCTAAAAAAGGCCACGTTGTGATGTTCTGCTCAGTGTGTGTCAGGTTCGTTAGCGAGGTCTGCAGAGGGGGGGGGGGTGAATACAAAGTCTGTGACTCGATAACAAAGTGGTCACTAATTAAAAAGCCTATTGTTTCTCTCCTGTCTCTGTTGAAGATGTTATTCTGAAGGTTCAAGTTCAGCTCCGAGTCCACTTATGTAACACTTAGTGACGTTAAACGATGACACTTCAGTGAATCAAGGGCAGAGAAGCTCCATTGAAATGAAAATAGTTTGTTTTTTGATGAAAGGGCACAATGGATATTTATTCTGCTTTAGACCATCGCTGAGTCCTGCTCGTCTTCGACAGTCAACATGCACCAGGAGAATGTGCCTGACTGCACTGAGACCTATTTCTGTGTGCTTCATAAAGTCTTAACGTCAATCACATAAGTGTTGAGCAGAATTACAGGTACTCTAACTCAAAGTATGTCAGTTCTTTAAAGTCAACTTTGGCTGCATCAAATTATTTTGGTCACATCCACTGTGTGTAATCCACTTGGTGACAGCTCACAAGACTATTTTTAGCTTTCTATTTTTATTCATCTTTCAGAGCTGTCCAGTACCTAAGGGATAATTTATCCTGGTCTCAAACATCTCAATGATGTCGCCATTAACAGTTTGTACCATTCAGTACAATAGTGCAGCCATCTGGATACTGGGCTGAGAAGACCTCTTTCTGTCTTGCGGCTGTTAATCTGGTAATCAATATCTATAATTCAGACCAGGGATTAAATATTTCAAAAGGGGTGGGAGATATGGATAAATCATGGCAAGAACAGGCAGGCTTCTCCGATTTGTTTTTGGCTCATCCAGCTATTTTTATCTTCGGCAAAGTAAAGTGCTTATAAAGGTTTTACATCAGTTAAAGGCTAAATCGTAAAGAAATACAATTACCAAAGGTAGAGAGATAATCATTTTGTCTTACTATATGTCAAAAAAATAGCTTGCTGCTGTAATAGATTTGAAAAAGTTCAACATTATAGTTTGACATAGTTTTATACTTCTGTTACATGTTTCTGCCAGATTGCTGCAGTGCTGACAGTACATTTTAAATATACCCCTGCATTGTCTGACATGCACGCCATTACCATAGACTGTATATAAAGATGGATCATATGTCTACACTTCCTCTCACTATCCAGGAATACAGATTTGAATGCTGCCATTTGGAGCCAGACTCTGTGCAGTAGCCATCGGGCCATGGAGCCGCTATCAAGGTCCCAACGATATACGCACACAACCAGCTTCATCGGTGAGTTAATTGAAGTGCATCTAATGGTCCACTGATTGATTGTAGACACACTGTACGGCACACAACAATGCAGCAATTGAGCAAAAGACCAAGTTAGAGATCTCTTGCTTGGTCATCAAATGTATGCAGTTACCGTTTATTTATTGCTAATGTATGTAATGTGTTTTATTTATTACTTCACTCTCACTTCACCCCCACATCTGACCAGCACACCTTAGGGTAATGCTGCTGGTGTGTGCATATATCCTCACAGACACAGGTCTGTGCTGGTCATACAAAGCTGTCCATTCAGGTACCAGTGGCCTTGAGTCAGTTAAACTAGAGACTGCCCACCTCCTCTCAACCCTCTTCACCTGTTTGCTCCAATTGAACCACACATTTTCTCCAACTTCACTTTATTCTTCCTCCACCACCAGGTTGAAGTAAACTGGAATTATCCTTTACGGCAACAGTGCTCCTGGGAACAGTCAAAGCTTTAGAATGTTTTATACCCTGCCCCTGATTTATTACTCTCCACAATTCCATCACAACTGTCTACAGGGAGTTTCCAGGACTTCCTGGCTTAGCTTTTTAAATCAAAGTCACAGATTGACTCCTGTCAAACTCAGAATACAACTCGGCATAAATCATCTGCCACAGCAATGGTTCCGAATTAAAGTTAATTTGCATCAACATTTAAAAAAAATGTTCTCAATTTGTCAGTAAATGTACATGGATGGATGGGTACATTTGCATTTTTAGTAATTTATAATTAAATCTATAATAAGAAAATGTGCAAAAAGCATCATTGGTCAGAATACTTTCTGAAGCAGCTGCATCTGCCAAAAGTCATTATTCCCTATAGCCTTGTATTTACCTTTAATAATAATAATATAATAATTATCTTCATCCTTTAAAACTGTACAAACAATATACAACTTTCTAATATGGCCAACAGAAGCTAAGCAAGGGAGACAGATTTGACCTTACTGGGTTGAAGGTTTATGGACGTGGAGTCGGGACGTTGTAAAACTGGAATTCATTGGATACTTGCAAGTGATTAAGAGGAGCTACGAGCCCTAACTATGAATCTGCATTTAGTTTGGTAGGCAAAAGAGAGACTTGATGCTTGTATAAATCCTTCGGCAACTTTTCAAACAAAGACGCCACAGTGTCATGAAAAATGCACCAAGCTTTGAAACAATAAAACAGTACAGAGCACTGTGGCTTCACATGCCACTGCTCCATCTGTACGAGTGTGCTTAAGGCCGTCTACTGCCTTAACTAACCAATCAAACGTCATCCTCCCACACACCCTTACGAAACCAAACCAGCCACAGAGCATGAGATGGATGCTGAGTTATTATCGGTGCCAGAAGTGTTTTGGGGGGGGGGGGGGAACCGTGAGCAGCAGCGTTCAAGGTAAAGAGGAAGAGAACACACTGTGGCACATAAACCACCCACTCAGGTACCAGACGAGCTGCATTACTAAATAAATCAGCTTCAGGGAGCAAGTAACACACTCATAAACATACGCACAAACAAATACACATGTCACTCTCATAAACACAAACACACTGATGTCCTGCACATATCCACACTTGTAAATTACAAGTGAATAACTAAACTAAAAACATTATTCAAACTGATTCAGCTGCATCTCTTTAACCATTCCCCCCGAAGAGACTATGTGCATGAATATACTAATGTAGTAAAGGTTACTTCAAGACAGATGCAGTGAGACAGAGAGGAAAGTGAGAAAGCTCTGGAGGAACTGTGCTGACAGCAAGTCTTGTAAAGCATAACTCTTTGCATGTCGTGTGAATCTCACTGTCTCGTTCACTTACTGCCAGTGAAGGCAATCCAGCGGGCGTATTTGGTGGCTTCTCTGCGCCAGTGTGATGCCACCAGCAGTCCACAGGTGACTGTGAGAGAGATGATGCCCATTATGATGAAGAAAAGTGTGGTGACCCACTCCGGGGGCAGCCGCGGTGGGATGCAGGTCCGGTCTCTTCCGTGGATCGTCTGACATTGCCGGACTAGACCAACCGTAAGGGCACCTGCAGAGAGAGGATGAATGATGATGAAGTGTCAGTCAAATATTGGGATATTCTGGCCCACATTAGGCCTCAATCTCCTCTAAATTATTCTGAGCAACACTCGCAGAACTCCCTGTATAAATTGCATATTCGTTTTGTTGTTTTTATATTAGTGCAAGCAGATGAAGTGTTCAGACCACAGCAGGTTCAAGGTAATTACAGCTTAAACAGCCTGTAGCTCAAAGAATACACATCTGAATGAGGAGGGGAAAAAAATAGATAGCAAAAATGATTATAGTCTCCTGCTGAAGACAAACAGTGAAGTGAGTGATGATTTACTGCCTCAATTAATGATATGGTCCAGGGAGGGAAGACCACAGCATAGCAGCTCATCTCCTGCAAAGTGAAATAGGAACAGGTGAAGGAGGAGAAATGGAAACCAGAGAGATGCTCCTTTAATTTGTCACCACTTCAGTGCTTGCTATAGAAGCTGAGGACTTGCTTTCTTCACACTAGTGGGCCCAATTATGCCAGTGGCCAACATTTCTTCTTGCACTTCTACTCTCAGGAAGAGAAGGCGAGGACTAAATCAATCCTGCCAATTACTGAATCTATCCCACGCAGATAAGACACTTTATACAGACACAAAACCTGAAGAATTTGCTGTGATAGCAGAAGCATTTGCAGAAGCTTTAAAAGGTCAATAATCTCTGTGTATATACACTGCAAGTCAGGGTCCTCCATGCCAGCCTATAACCACCAACTCTTCCCTTCCATCCTCTAATTGTTCCATCTAGAATCTTTAATGTGTAAGTTACATCTGCTTTCACAAAACTATGACATGACATGCTGCTTTTCTGTACTTATCCATAACTGATCATACAAATGTATTCATGAGAAGAGCTCTGCCAGAGCCTGAGTGTGAAGGCCAGTACTCAGCAGGAATATGCTGCAGCCACTCTGGAGAGAAGCAATTCAATTAGAGCACATCCACCAGGGAATTTCTACCTGAGTAAGCAGAACAGCAAGGTAAGAAAGGAGGACTCTAAACAATGGACTACATGGAAAGCAGGTTATATTTGAAAATTTGCTGGGGTAGCGATGTGAGAGGTTTCATTAGTGAACAGAATAACTGGATAATGTGGATTGGTTTAAGGGTGGCAGATAGCGGCCGTACACCACATGCTTTGACACTTTGCACGTGTATAAATATATATAATATAAAAAGTGTTAATTAGGTTAATTTTATGTGTGCTGGTCAAAAGCACGATAACAAGACACATATTCTACCATGTCTTCCCATCCTGACCCATTCCAAATCCATCCACCAAGTTTCATAGAAATTGGTTCAATAGATTAAACACTGGTGGAATTATAAACCTTCTAGGCAGACCAAAATAATAACCCATTCACTAATAGGCAAGCCCATGTGGACGACATCATGAAGTTTCAACAGCGAATCAGCCGGTGGTCATAAATGAGACAAGTACGCAGGCTGGAATTTCAGAAGGTCGAACATGGAACGTTGTCAACCAGACATTTTTTAACCCATGTGTAATGATCTTTGTATTTGCAAACAATGGTTGTATGATGTCGCTAACCAAAACCACTGAGTCTAAACCACTTGGAACAAAAAAAGCAAAGCTTGTGAGAGAGATGTGTTTGTGTTGCTCTGGAGGTGTGGTGGGTTGTGCAGGCTGTCCACAGGAAATCCTGATCCTTTTAATAACACCCAGTGAAAGCAGTGCTTTTACAGTAACAACCAAACACAAACCTAACCCTTCTGGACTCACACAAACAATGTCCCTGGTTCAATAGAAACGTCTTGGGAGTCTGTGTACCTTTGTGAGTATGTAAGCTATATAAGCTGCAGAACTGAAGGCTTTACATTTCCTGTTACAGGCAGAAACACCTACCTTAGAAAGATCTTACACCCCACACATAAACAGACTGACATCTGAGAAAACTTATTATAGAAATGTTTTCTGCCTCCATTTTTGACTTTATCTGTATTATTCTCTGCGAAAATACAGTTCTCCTTGTGAAGATTTTTTTTTGCAATAATAGCCAAAAGAAAACAATGTAGATCATAGCTAACAGAAAATGCCACGTGAAGGACCCAAGAGCTTACTCAACAGCCTGTTCCTAAAGTCGGTGCAGAGTAACCTTGAACAAATTAAGGAACAGGAGGTTAGCAAGGTTAAGAAAGCAGGGACTAGTGCTGGGAACAGGAGAGCATGAGGCAAAAGTTTTATAACTGTGGCTAATGGCACCAGTTTATGACCATTTCTTCTGGATCCCCTGGCCTCCTGCTGTTTCACTAGCTCTCAGTGGAATTCTTGGCCTGCAGCAGGCAGACATGAGCTGCTTTTAGACATGCGCTGAGTTCCGCCGCTCCTCTGAATTTTCTCCGGAGGAGGTTTATGCGTGAACGAAAATGTCCGAGTGAGAGGCGCCGGATTATCTGCAGACTTTCTCCGTCTAGTATGAAGTCTGTAGGAAGTCATCAAAAAAAAAAGTCACGTGATCCCCGCAACAAAGTCAATACGTCACCTCTTGCCCCTGCCTGCTGCACCCGGGTGTTCCACCTCTCGCCTGAATAATGCAGAGGATTTGTTGCGGTTGTGAACACCTCTGTGCAGCGAACCTCCCACTGTGGTATGCATGTGTGAAAGGCAAACTCTGGGTAAACTCTGGACCCAATTTACTGGTCACGTCTAATTACAGCTGTGTTGTGAGTCACAGATCCAGGTAAACAACTGAAGAAACAGACCCAGGGGACGTTCAGGTGAGCAATTAGACGATACATTGGGAAACCGTTAGCATGGTTCTGTCTAAAGGTGCCAGTACTTCACTAATTAACACATTATGTGTAATTTGTTTAATCTGGATACAAAATGTGAATTGTGCCCAGACAATAAATAGTCGAATTTAAAAAAAAGCAAAATATGACAAATACCTCAATCGCACCTAATGGCAGGAAGAGGGGGAAAGGTCATCGTGGGGTTGGGGTGGCACACTTTCAATAAGTTGTAGATGCTTTGCCAAGGGAAACAACCTTTGCTTTCTATTTTTTATGGCTGCATCCTATTGATCACTCTGTGAAGCAAAAGGATGCAATGTTTTGTTGACAGGCACAAAAAGTCCATTTCTAGCTCAATTTTATGCCTCCATCCTGCCGTTATCCTTCAGTCAGCTCTGCACTCACTATGATCAAAATACTCCTCACACCAGGTCTTAGTCCAAATGAGAGGAAATGAGGGCCGTGTCTGCTCATCTCCAGCATGGTGATGCTGTCATTAGCAGAGCTTAGGGGGTGCTGCTGTTTATAAGCTCTGAAGGATGAGTCAAACAGGCTTCTGAACTTTTGGTGGGTGGCAACAACAGCTGCTTGTTCTGCCGCTGCTGCTCGGGGCTTTACCAGCACCCACTTGCATTGTAGGGGCACCGGAGCAAAGCCGTATGTGGTCCAAACTCACATACAACGATCCACATGCAAGAAACACCCTCTATAATAAATACAAAGGAACTAATGTCCAGTGTTTAACAGCAGACAACCAACGTGATCATCCTTGCCTAGTAACAGTAACTGTTAAATAATGAAGTGAAGATGAAGTGCTGATTTACAAGAAATTCATCCTTTTTACTGTCACATTGTCCACAGTCAGCTTCCTATTTATAAACTGTGTTGATGAAATATGCTCACAACAGTGTCTCAGTTGACTTATCTCCTATAAAGAAATTATCAAATTTTGCTATCATGCAATTCCTTGTGGGGGAACTTTATCAAAATATAGCACGATAAATTTTGGACTGGTAATACAGCAAAATGTCATTCGTTGGGAATGTACACTATGCTATGAAATAACAGGAATTGTGCGTTTTGGATTGCTTCTATTTTAACATACTAGCACCCAACAACAGATATATATTTAATTGGATGAGTAGAAAATCTGGTTGCCAACTCACTCCTACTGAAGATTAAGCACAAAATGGAGCTTTTCAATTATTGTCAAACCAATTCTGAGCAAGTGAAAGAAGTTAAGTAAGACACAGTTGGAAAGTCCCAAACTACAGGCAAAGAAATACCTGCTGCAATTAAATAAATGTTGAGCCATTAGAGTCACAGATTGAGCCCATCGATTAATTGGTTTTATTAGCCTTCCACAGATTTATCAATATCTTGTTTATTTTTGCCGTTATTTATATTTTACAGAGTAAACATTGCAGTAATTATATGCATTTATGTTAACATTGTACACAAAAATGTGTTTGTTTTCTTCATTGAAGTTCTATATTATTGGCAATATTTGTGTTTTATCTTTATTTATAGTTATGTATAACAAAGCTTAGAGTTAAATCTAAATATTAAATATGGACACAAACATATTAGCCAATCAATATATACCAAAGATTATGAACTCGCTAATACCGTGTTGGCATCTGCCCCTGAAATCCATATAAGTCGGGGCTATGCTACAGCTGTTTTTTCTTCTTCAAATCTGTGCATCAGAACTACATTTTTCTGGCCTGTAAATTGAATCTACATTCAGTTCTGACTCTGTACAGTGGTTTCTGTCCTTGCCCGTCGGTGAAACAGGCTGGACTGAAGTCAAAACTGCTGGCTCTGCAGCTGAGGAACTCAATAATATAGGCTGGGCCTGGTTTCAGTAGCTTTGTATCAATGACACACTCTGTCCTTGTGCTTTGAAAAGGGATACTTAAAATAACACAGCTTAGTATTCTCCTGTTTCGTTCTCATTTGAGTTTTTACACAGCGTCAGACTCAGACGATAACAGTAGTAGCATGTTTGGAGCAGCAGTGATAATTAACTGCAATTTTTTTTCAGGCATTTTTTTGTTGTTTAAGATATACTGTAATATGACAATTTTTCAGTGAGTCAGTTTTTCAATGTACTAAAACCTAAAGCTATTATAACTAATATGAAAGAAATGTGGAGAGTGTCTACTTCAGTGACATTCTGGCAGTAAAATGCATCTTGTATCCTGATACTATCTAGGTATCATTTTAACCTGATTACACTTTCACCTGCTATTATTGTGTGTCTCTAGAGATCTGACTGAGATCTGATCTCTCTGTCCGGCTCATGTCAACACCTCTTTGTTTGCATGGGTCAAAAAATGTTGGATAGATTTAAAAAAAAGAAAAAAAAGAACATGAGGAGTAGAAGATGGTAACTATCTGTGGAGCTGTGTTATTATGTCTCCTTGCTTTTGAGTTTCATCTCCTCTCAAAGACTGAATAATGTCTATAGTTGAGGGCTGTTTTGTGTATTTACTGGCTAATCACTGAAAAAGTACTGGTATGGAATAGTCATGCATGGTAATGTATGTCTGCACATGTAAATGTTGTATGAGGATTGACAACGCACTTGCAATTACACTCGTGTTTAGTTTTGTCATAATGTGCCTCAGACCATATCTAGAGGTGGTTTGGCCAATTGGATCAAATCCATTCTCAATGTGTCTTGGGAGCATTTTCATCTCTACTTTCACGTGATATCTGCTATCCAATCTCCAAAAACATGGTTTAAAGCCAGGAGTAAATGGTGTAGGAGTTTTTTGGGCACCATGAAAACTCTGGCACTGACACCATCTGCAGCAGGATGTTAGAGCTGATGCAGCTCCTCAGTGCTAAGTGGATAAGCTATACAGATACAAGGAATATATCATGATCCTCGCTTTTTATGTTTTACCGGAAAACTCGTGTCTTAACTCATCCTCTGGGTTAAGAAAATATTTCATTTCTGTGATGCTGCCCAGCCTGCCACACTGTTGCTCCTGTATTACTCTGCATACAACTGAGCAGCTAAAAAGATTGCAGCCATTTAACTGACAACATGTGGGTTGACTCAGGGGTTTCTCGACTGATGCACCAACTCATCAACTGCTGAGGGAGAGCACTAGTGGATAACATATACTTTAGGGCAATAAATATCCTCCACTGTGGAGAGAAATGTGAGATTATTTACAACCACTGACAATAGGATGGTAAAGTGGAAAAAGCATTTTATCATGGTTAAAGAAACTTCTTGCTTAAGAAGCAAAAGAGTCACCATTTCAATTTGTAATCTTCAACAGTATTTTTTCCAGCTTCATTCAAACGCACTTTGCAATAATCTCAGGTTAAAGTGACGTTGGACCAGTAAGTGTAACTACTTCATTCGTAAACAGAGAGTGATTTCTAGTTGAGCTAATTCTGATGCTGTTGGTTTTAAAATAATTAAGTGAACTATAACGGAAGTTTTACAAACTGGTGGAAGAATATTTGCCCAGAAGTATCTCTTTGAAAGGGTTTGATGCTGAAATTGCAGGGTTTTTTGTTTTTTTTAAAAACTACATTATGGATGGGTGCAGGAGCGTTATGAAAGCTTGTCTGTGCCTGGATGTGATTTAGCATTTTTAATTGTATGCGTGTGTGTGCATACAGGGTGCTTCAGCAGTCATTCAGGCGCTAGAAAATGGCATAAACTGTGGGAACAAGTATCTGTAGGAGGGGCCGTCTTCAGCAATCTGCTGAGAATCACAGTTTTTGTCTTGACACTACTGCAACAATGGCTTTGTCTTGAAACTCAGCACAGGAAATAAACTTCAGCCTTTACTCCCTGAGGATATCACACTGAGGTGAGGACAATGCAATAGATCAACATTTTGTCTTTAGCAATGAGTGTCATTAGTGCTTCTTCTTCAAGTATGCCAATTCTCTGAGGGTTTGGCTTTTTGTGTGTCAAAGCTTGGCCTAAAGGTCGGCTTTCAGGAGCGGGGCCGACAATTACGAGAAACTGGGGTCATAAGTGTTAAATGACTACCGTTTGTTTTCTTATGCGCTCTTACTTCAAAAAAACCTTTGATCATATCACTTGACCAAAGCAGGAACCAAACAGCCACCCACTCCCTTAACATGTCTGTTTCTCTGAACATGTCTGTCGCTCCGAGTACAAAGACGACACGCAGAGCTCCTACAGGGGCAGGTTGTCAAGAAAGCCAGGAACCAGAGGTCAGCTAATTGGTCATCAAAGGCTCTTTTTTCATAATAGCTTCCAATAGAGCACTAGTATGTGAAATGGGTTAGACAAAGTAATGTCATCTGTCCATGGTCAAAAACAGTGGAAGATCTAACATAATTTATTCACAGTTACAAATACGGCAAGAAATGAGGCTCTTATTAGATTGAATACCATTAAGCAGCTATAATAGAGACCCAACAATCAGCTATTTGAAATGGAAGTGTCCAAATTAGCAGAAGACAGTGAAACAGAGCTGCAGGCAGAGACTATAAAAAGTATTCAATATGCCCTGCAGCATCTAAAAAAGGTCAAAACAAGACGACCTAAAAACAGTTTCTTCCTCTCTGAAGTTTCCAGAAACACAGAGACATGACTTTAACATCATCGTTTTATAACGAGGCGCATAATTCCAATAGTTCAGACAATTTGTGACTGGTTCTTGATTTTCATCCCTTTGAAGAATAATGATTCTTTCAATGGCACTTTCTGTGAAAATTTACCTATTCAATTCTTTTATTAATGCAGACAAAATAGCTCAGACACAAATAGTTTTGGAATTTAAGGTGCACATAATTCTGAATTTCTAGGTTATAATGTGCAATGTCAACACCAAACGTATTATTCAACAAAGATTTAGTAATTTCCCAATCCAAAGTGGCGTTTACAACACTTCCTTGCTATCTATGCCCTACAAAGTTAGAAACATTACACACTGCTCAAGGTGACTTGCAAAATAATTGTCTGCCTTTCCTGCCCAAACAACAAAGAAATGGTCAATTTCTTGACCATTTAATATCCCAAACAATGTCTGGCACATTCTCAAAATGATGCAGGAGAAGAAAACAGTGTGAGGCAGACAGTGGTCTTGGACTTCCGTGTCTTATAAAACCATCCAAGACAAGACCCACCACAATTGTCAAAGAGAGGAGGGAGACCTGTGAGGGTGAGAACAGAGACAGCGAGGTGGAGGCTGGTCGCTGTACAAAATCCACACTTACCGAAAAAACGCAGTTGATGAATAACAAAAAGTTCGACTTTCTGTACATGAAGGTACAGAGCTGTGGACCTCAGCATTCAGTTACCATGCACTTTATTTGTGGCTGTAGAGGACTAATTTTAGATGAACTGGGCCTTAATACCAAAAGGTTGTCTCCAAATAAAACTAAACATCCATTCTTACATTGCAATAAATTAATCTATCATGCGTTGTCGAGAGTGCCCTCGTTTCCTTTTTTTAAAAGCAAGGGTACCTTGCTTTTAAAAAATTTCTTATGCTGTGGAGCTAATACAGTCTGGGTGTGTATTGGTGGATGATGAACCCTCCCTGACCCAGTTACTAAGCTGTCATCCTGCAGAGGGAACAAAGAGGAGCAGCTGTCTATCAATAGCCTGAATGGGTTTACAGGAGTGACACAAATAATACAAGGACCACCAGCATGTGCTCCAATCCAAAACTCAGCAGGGTAATAAAACATTTGAGCTTTGGTTTCTTGACTGATCTCAGATTGGATTGATCACATTGCGGTCACGTCAAATGTCAATGTGCAAGCATAACACAAAGCAACCATTACTTCTTGCTGTGAACCAGTCTCAGTTTCCACCTCAAAGGTTTGTTGTTTGTTGTATTTCTCTGCTCTGCATCATTGAGAATAAGATGTCTCTAGGTTTGGGGGGGGGGGGGGGGGGTGAGAAGCAATTAAAGGATATCACTTTGGCTTCTGACAAATTACATTTTCAAGACTAAACTATTCACCCAAGGTCTTGGAAAATGCAATAAGTTGCAGCCCTAGACAACAGAGAAGCACAGAGCTCATCAGATTCGAGCATGAAATTGTATGACTAGTCTTATAATGATCAATAATGAGCAACACAAACATGAAGTGAAAACACTGCTGTGGAGGACAAAAGCTGTTACTGCAGATGAAACACACAATGGGACATATCTTTGTTTGTGGAGATAATCTGCTGCCATGCAGGAACAGTGCTGATTTAGACAAATGTAAGAATCCCTGCTCAAACACACAGAACAAAAAGTATTCTTGCACCGTGGCTGTGGCCTGCTTTGTTTACCTGCCGATTCACCAGTGTTGATCCAGTCCGGGTTTGCAATACTGGCTATGGCAAAGATATCTGCTGCCAGAAAAAGGCACCCTGAAATGATCGTCAGTTTATCCATATCTCCAGCCGAGGAAGCGGTGAGTGACGGGGGAAGGAAAATGTGGCGGTCGCTGTCCAAATGTGACCCCGAGTGTTGAGAGACACAGGGTGGGCTGTTATCTGTCCAACCTCGCCCCCCTCAACAGGAGCCTGCTGTTGTGGTTCCGCTGTGCATTTTGCAGCAACGTTAGCTCCTTCGCGTCAAGCAAGCGAGAGCCTCCAGCTACAAAAGGCTCACATGCGAGACACAAAAGCATCACATCTCAAATGCCCGTCGCAGTCCAGTGGGGTAAAACAATAGCTCGCTCGGCGCCAGGTCCCTGAACCGCTTGTGTTGTCTTTCGTATCCGTTTAGCAGCAGCAGCATCGGGTACAGCTGCGGCTAGCGGACAGCTAGCTAGCTACTTCCCAGATTCGGGCTCGGTGCGCCGAGCTGCGGCCCAGAAGCTGCTCGACGGCCAAGACCGCGACTGCTCTCGCATTTCAGACAAAATGTCTCAGAGGCGGAGGCGCAGAGGAGGCGACGCGAGTCCCCCCTCACTCCGCCGGGGTTTTTTTTTCAAGCGAAGGTCTAACGTTACCCGTCAGGAAAGCGAGAACCCATCACCGTCCTCCTTCTCCGCTGGAATAGCATCTGGTACTTTCGGTCCGTTAGCCAGCTTCACCTCCTCCTCCTCCTCCTCCTCCTCTTTCGCCTCCTCCTTCTTCTATTCTCCGGTGAGGACAGAGGACACGCGCTGCGTACTGGAGCCCAGAAGGAGCGGTACGTGTCCCGGTGTGGACGGTGGCGTTATTGTTGTGCTCTCCAGCCGTTTCACCACCGTTAGCTCAGCCTCCTGCTCCGCCGGATGACATCAGGCGAACACCCCCACGCAGCGCCGAAGCGCGCACGCACATACACACACAACTCACGTTGGGGGATGGTGGGGGGGGGGTCTCTCCTCGCGATACTTGTGAGAACATCAGGGGGTCGGTTTGTCCTTATTCGCCCCGATTGTGTCAAAGAACTGTCAAAGGTTCAGTGGTTACAGAGACACAACACTGAGCCAAATAAACAACTGTCACATAAAACACATTTTAAATCACTCGAGAACAAAACACAACTTCACAACAGCGACCAAAACACAACAACAGAAAATAAAGAGATCACACAAGAACAAACACAACATAGCGTCGACTAAAATACAAAGCACAGAATAAAAAATGGATAAATTCCAAATTTTAAATTCACTATTTTATTTGTATTGGAAATAATCACTAAATAAATCAGACACTGTTTGGTGAAATGTTATCAGGTTTCTGAAACAAAGTTTTTGTCCAAAATATTTTCTGAAAGCTAATTTGTTCTTTCCTAAAATATATATTGTGTGAGGCAGTGTGTAGGGTTTTTTGTCTATTGTAAAATGTTTTTCAAAATGTATGTGAAATGTTTTTTTTAAATAAAATTCAATGCTTTCTACAATGTTTCTGATTTAGTTTTTGTCTAATGTTGTAGGGTTTTCATGTCATACAGGACTGTACCTCTAAGGCCACACTGTCAGGAAACAGTGAATGAATTCATTCTGATCTTGCAGTCGTACCATTCTAAAACCCACTATGTCATGATCATCACACATCTCGGCTTTACTGCAACTCGTTTGATCTGAACTGAATAATTGCAAATTGGAAATATTGCAAATATAAACTGCTCTTATCTTTATTTAGAATAGAATGCCTTTAATGTCATCACAAAATGAAGCATGGCGAAATTACAGATTTGCTGCTTTGTGCCTGAACATTCAGGACCTTTGTTATTTTAACATTAGATTGTACTCACAATGAGTAGATCCATACCTTAATGCTGTGCTTACACGCAAGTTAAGTACTTATACTGTACTTTAGTATTTCTATTCTTCAATTTAATAATTCACTACTCTGCAGAGAATTATTGCTCTATGCTATTTAGATTAAAATTGTATATAAAAACTATATTTTTTATTAAATATGATGTACCGTAATGACATTTCAATCATAAAATTGTGAGCTGCAAAACTCAAATAGTGCTTATTCAGTAATAATAAAGCATTATCATAACATTATATTTAGCCGATAGCACTTTTGTCAGCGCAGGATTTAAAATGCATCTTGATTCTCAGCCGACTGTTGTTACCTCCGACGTTCAACATTGTATCAAAGGAAACTGATTTGATCCTTCAAGATGACCCTGTTATAGTCATGTTTGTGCTTTTGTGTCCCCCTATTGGCTGATGAGGGGAACAATACAGTTCTTAAAAACGCTTGATGCCTGTAGTGTACACAGATCCTCACACTCCTGACAAAATTGAGGCTACAGTAATAGTCATTCCAACACATATATTCAAGCTCAAAACTTCTGTTATTACTGTCATAACTTTAATTTACATAGATATACAGTTAAATTGACAAAAAAAATGACAACAGAAAAATTGCATTTTGATTCTGTCTCCCTGTTGGAGATCACACGTTCTTGCAGGACAGAATACAAGTGATTGGTGACGTCAAATGAATCGTTGCATGAGGCTGTGGGGCTTTGAGGTCTTCGCTCTTTTTTTTTTTTCCAGGCAGCCAAGCACAGCATGTCCAAGTTAAAATTCAACAGTTCTTAAACTTTACTTTCATACTTCATCCACAAATGGTGTATTGACGAGGTGTCCGCTAGCTGCCATGGTCTTCTTGCCGTCCACAAATTTTTTCGCAGCCTGTAAATAAATGAAAAAGATCATTTTAATGTGAGGAAACATTTTGGTAGAAAGATTGTGAATAATAAAACTCTGCTGCCTTTTCAGGAGGCAACAGCCTTTATGTAACAACAATTCTGAAGTTTAATGATTCAGGATGTACACATGGATTACATGATTACTGCAGAGGTGTGCTACATTATATACAAAGCTACATAGCTTGAGTTAAAGCTATAGCTGCGTATGTGAAAATAACCAGCAGAATGATTGCACTGAAGTTCGACAGTGATGATGAAAGATTGTCCTATTGTCATCTCTGCAGTGAAAGCACTCACCTTGACCACATCATCCTGGGTGACGGCGTCTATGGCCTGGAGAACAGTATCAGGGAGGTGGTATGCCGCAGTGTTCAGAACCTGAGCACCGATCTCCTCCATCAGGCACTCAGAGCTCTCTATTGACATCAGGTAATCGGCTTTCACCTGGTTTCTATGCAAATAATTCAAACACATTCAACACAGCAGCTCAGTGAAAAGTGTACAATAACATCTGTGTGCATTGTAAAAATGCTTCTTCACTGTGGACGTACTTTGCTGTGGTGATGTCAGCCTCTGACACATTGCCCTCAGCCACACTTCTCACTTGAGCAATGGCAGCTTTGATCACCTGCAGAGAAACACTCAGTGAAATTCAGCTTATGGTAAATTTTAAATGCAGTTGCATTTGTCTTGGAAGGAGTGAATTTAGCACTCACCTCTCCTGCAGAAGCCGCTTGCGCAATGGTGTAGACACCAAATAGGCCAGAGTCTGAGTATGAGGCATTGAAGGCGGTGGCCTGTAAGACATCCAGAGGTCACGTGACATTACAAAACAAAGCTCTCTGAATTTAAGAGGTAATGCAACAAAGTTTTCCTGAGAACAAATTGAAAGCCCAATAATAGTTATTGCAATTTTTTTTTACTTACATCAAAGGGCTGTGTGGTAGCTTTGGCAATACCCTGACTCAGTTGGCTAGTGATGTTTGAGCCTCTCTTTACATGTGGACCAGCTCCCAGGATTCTTTGCAGCACAGTGAAGGCATTAGCCTCTGCACTACCTGTCACAGCACCCTCACTGGCAATCAGTGCATGGACCAGGTCGTCATTGTTTTGCACTCGCAGTTCACCTACACATGCACATAACACCATCGTGAGAATTAAGCTATTTGAAAAGTGTGTAAAGTCCCTTTCAAACGTTTTTACCTCCACGGTAAACAGATTTAGCCACAGGTGCACTGGCCCCACTGCGGGTGCTCAGGAGACCCTCGCCCACCTGCCTCAGGACAGAGTGCTTCACACCTGGATGGAAAAATCAGTGAGTAACAAAATTACTATACAACTGAAGTGGAAAAAATGCACTGTTTTGAAGGGGAAAAAGCTACACATTCCCAGGATACAAACTGCCATATTAGCATGATGTATTATCACGCAGGCAAGTTAACACTTGTAGCATTTGCTTGCAGGCAAAATCAGCCTCATAACATGCAAAGAAACCCACCAATTATAACACAACAAATAGTGTTGGTGTCGTCCTTTTCTTCACATACCAGCTTTGATTTACCGCTGAGTCATTTTACAAATGCCAGATTTAACAGTGTGGTTCAATGTAAGCACGCCCACAAAAGTTAACCAACTGATACAAGATTAATACAACAGCATCAAATGTAAAATGGAGTCTTGATAAGCAAAGCGTGGTGTTGGTGCAGGGAAGTGACACAACCGTACAAATAGACACTCACCTAGTCCTACAAGAGCCATTTTGCCAGTGATGAAATTGTCTTCAACAAAGGACTGCAGCTACAGGGGAAGGAGGAGGAGGAGATGCATGTAAGAGCAATGCAAAATCTAACCAATGCAATCGTTCAACCTGAGAAGTCAGTTGCCTTCAAGACCATACAATTTACTATATCCCAATGTAAAGAAACAGAACAAAACAAAGGTGTTACCTGTTCTGGGGAGATGCGGCCGACCATGTGGTCAGGGCAGTACAGAGAGTTGGACAGGGTGTTTTTATATGCTGCTTCATGCAACTTCTCAATTACACCTGCAGGAGAAAATGGTACAGAGACCTAAATTTCAGTCGAGGAAAACTAGACATCCAAGAGATGGATCCAAGAAACAAAATAATATTTTTAAATCTCCATCAAGAATTAAGTTATTTTCAAGTTAATAATTGGCATATGTGCTTTTTTAAGTCCATCATCAATAAAAATGGTCAAGCACAAAATCATAACACACAGAGTATGATGCATTTTATTGCTTCAAAATGTCTCAAGATAAAGTGGAGTCAAGCAGTGAGGAAGATTTTGTGGTCCTCTCACTTCTTGATCAAGAAAACAATGGGTTCATCCAATCCTGAGAAGCCATCAGCAACAAGGAGAATATTATCTTCTGATCAAGGATCTGTGAAATTATCCCGATTGCTTCCAAATCTATTTCAGGATGTCTGCACTGACACAGCAAATTAAAAAGAAGAAAACAAATATCAGTGGTCCAATTGATCCCAAACAGCAGCTGGCAGTATGAATTCACACAAAGACAGACACACACACACTCCAAACCTAGAGGTTATCAGTCTTTATCAGAGCAACAGGGCACAAACTGCAAACAGGGATTTCTCAGTGAAATATCTTCAATCAAATGCCTGATATCCTTGTTTAGAGTTATCAAACAACCCTGAAACAACTCTCTGGTACGCCTTTGAAAGATGGAAAAAATTGAGCAAATAGAAACTGTTCCGAAAACTAAACTTAAAGTTTTAGTCGGTGTGTAAACGTAACTGACACATTGAAGATCGCATTTATTTTTGAACGTGCGACAAAGTCTGTGTGCAAAGACCTTAAAATGTGACCGAGAATCGACAGCCTGCTCTGCAGCTATGAGCTCACTGTTTTATTTGGGAACACAAACCTGAGATCAATTACAGCACTTGTCAGATGGGTTCAATTACTGTGTTGACATCATTTCCTCAATGCTGAAAGGTTGCTCTTGATACTAACCTATCTGAGGACACTGCTGAGCCAGAGCCTTGTCGAGCTTCACCCTGGACGTCAGGTCATGTACCTCCCATGGCCGAAACTCCTGAGCTGTGGTCACGTTGACCAAAGACTCCAATAATGAATCTCTGGACACACAGATACAAGAGCAGTGA